GAAACGGTTTAATGCGGTCTGGAAATTCCATCTCATTGACTGGAGGCCACTTGACCACACAAGCAACGCAGTACACATATACCTCGTTCTTTAAGCCTGAGCGACGAAGTGGCGTGTTTCACGCCAAGGGAAAAAACAACCGGAAGTCACGTCCTTCCCTCGCGTACCAATTGAAAAGGATACTTGATAGCAACTTAAGTTTTAAAACATCCTCTGACCTTTAAATTGGTTTGGCCCTCCGACTTTGTCCAATTTGGCAAACATACCCCACTAATATTCTATGTGCTTTTCGGAAAACATACTCGGTAGCAGGGCCGGGCAGCCTTCTTATTTTCCACGTTTTTAATATTGTTTTATTAATTGCTGTAGCTCCTTATGGAATTCGAGAAGGGGCTCGGAAGCTAGATACCTGCGTCGATGGGTAAGATACGTTCTATAACTTATAATTATTAAGTTATATAATCACATGTATCACTTAAAATTACATACTTAAGACTATGCAACCATATAAAATTATATAACTTATAATTATTAAGTTATATAATTAACTTGCAATTATATAACTTATAATTATTAATACGCCCAGTGAGAAGGCGCCCTAAAATCTCTACTTCTCCCTACTAGCATGAGCTGTGACCCAATGATCGCGCGGGTGAAGTTAATGTCCATTTTGATAATCGAAATAAATGAGTGATTTACCTTTCTTTTTCTCGATGTTTTCTAAAAGAAACAGAAAATAATTTCTCCGTGTTTCTATCGAGTTTTACTGTAAATCTACTAGCGTTCTATCACGAATGCTGTTCTCTGATTGGCTACGCTACTCACTATCTATTCTAGGATGGATAGTGAGTAGCGTAGCAGTGTGCCCTTGTTAACGAAATGACGGCCGCTTCTTGGCGTTTTCGAAGTGTCTGTGAAGAGGATTTCGATAAAGTTTTGAACGACTACGTGTAGTAGATTTATATTAAAAGAATTACTATAGATTATTCGCTCTCGATTTCTATGCGTGAAAGTTGACGAGGGCGCGCGATAGAAATCTCGAGTTCATAATCCAATTGTTTAATAGACGCACTCGTGAAAGCCAAGGAGACGTCGAAAAAACCGTGGAAACACTCGCCTGCGGTTCATGTTCCCACAGCATTTTTCGTTCTCCCGATGGTATTCCTATGTTTTCTAAGAGACTAATGCACTTTTGATGTCTAGGAAAAGTGCTGACCGCTCTTGCGTTCACTAGCAGCTTATCTACATTATAATATAGCATGAAAACGGGGGAATGTTTAGATCTGA